TTTTTTTTTTTGTTTTTACCTTTATTATTATTTTATTTTGTTTAAGCAGCGATAAATAAGTTTGAAGCATACACACATGCATGCATATATTAGCACGTATTTATACACATACATCTCTATACATATATATAGTTATGAACATGCTCATTTAGACACGAGTCTAGAAATTATTTTCCTTCATATACAAATTTTTACAAATCAAATTTAAAAAAAAAAAATTAGAAATAACTATTAATTTGTGCTTTAATCGCTTTACTCAAAATGATTTATTTATTTTTCTAAATTGCAAGCTGTTTGTTATCTAGTAACATAACTTACAATTTTCCTCATACAAAATAGTATACCATAACATACTTGTAATTTGTAAGCCAACATTGTGATTTTCGCTGCAGCTACACTCAATGATTTATATGTATATGCATAACTGTATCGATAATTTTAAGTACATATTTGCTTGAATTGAGGAACTCTGTGATTCCTTTTGTTTTGCATTCTTTGTTGTACATTTGCGTTTTGCAGGTACCTATTTCGGGAGTATATTGAATTGCGAGGGTAGAGATTGGCAGATGTTTCAAGTATTTAAGGATTAACTCATGTTTTGTATTCATTTCCGCACATACACGCAAACATTCATAGTTGGTTTTAAGTAGAGTTGACTTCCAGGTTGTAGAAAAAAATATTACGTTTAATGTAAAAAGTAACGAAAAGGAACTACATCAAACTAAACTAAATAAAATATTTCTAAGTTAAAAGTTTTAGAAGTTTGTTAATTAGTTTGCTATTTTCCTGTTCGATTTGTGGATAATATTCCTTAGCGATATTTAAGTGTAACACATGTACGCATTGAAATGTATTATTCGAGAATGTATTATTGAGATCTATATAAATTATTAATTATACATGCATACTATTCGTTCTTTACTAAGTTGACTACAAAATAATTATAGATAAGCACTCATCCTATGAAGCAGTTAGTAGTTAAGTTGAAACTTTGAAATGGCCATGACGAACGCGTGGCTGGTGGTAAACACGATAACCAACTAAACTGAAATATATGTACATATATGAAATGAAAACAAAAAAAAAATATTTTTAATAATCCCATAAAATGATCTAGTTTGATTTAAAATGGAAAAATTATAATTACAACCTTTTGGACTGCTGTTGTTATAACAGCATACAAATTCCCCAAAGAGTTTTTTGGGAGTGTTGCTGTAGTGACAGGCCTTGTTCAGACATAAATCTGGGTCGTTCCGGTTACGTAGACCCGATTGCCGCAGGGACGCTGTTGTTGTTGGGATAGTTGCTTACTAAGCCCTATCGAAATTAGAGAATCCGCATGATGTCATTAACCTCGTCTAATGGACGGAGTCCTAAAACACAATGCGATGACGAAATGCGTTGGCCAGAGCATACACAAAAATGTTACCAGAAATTCAAGGATGGTGCTTGACTGATGTCAAAAACTTGCGTATTCTTGCCAAACACACGGAAGAGGCAGTGTGGGGCACCAAGAGCTGCTAATTGGATCTTCACGGACATTTTTGGGACATGTAAAGATTGGGAGTGTGGATGTTGCGAGGGGAAGCCGAATGGTGGTTGCACTACCCTCAAGTGGCGCAACGGCAGCAGATTTCCTGGGGAAGCCTTAATTTCTAACGTTTGATTAAGTCTCAGCGCGCTAATTCGTATGGTATTGTGGATGTCGATTTCTCGTTCAAATAAGCGACTGTGAATATTTTAAGTCGCGCATCCTTCTACGACTGTTAGTTCTTAGACGGATGACCTACTAGTCAACACTCGCAACAGGGGTGTTATAAACTCAGACTCGAAAGTTGACTGAAGATTTCCAGACTAAAACTTACTTCCCACTGTAAAGTCGCTCCTAAGTGAGTCTATTACACCATGCCAGAAAAAAGTTAGCATACGCCGAGTCTAAAGTATTTTTGCAAGGCAGTTAAAAAAAAATAAAAAAATTTTTTGGCCGAACGTAGAAGTCGTCTTCTGACATTTTTCGTCTATCCTCTGTATTTACGGTCTGATCTCAAAGTATTGTATATCTATGTTTTTGTCTCGAGAAGACGATTTTTTATATTTTGTTTAAAAGTTCGCTCACCTCAAGTAGTACTCCGTTTTAGTAC